CAGGTCGTGTCAGAAAGTGGGTGATGGGTGAATTGGTGCTTGGACCAGGGACAGAGCGTCCATCCTGAGCTGAAGGTTTCGGGGTTGCAGTGGGAGACCGTCGTAACATTTCCAGGAAGGATTCGTAATGAAGGTTGCCAGAAATGAAGAGAAAATAGGTCGCAAGTGAAGAAAACCTTTGTCATAGTGGACTGCTCTGCACCCCCCGAAACAGGAGCATGGAGAAGTCGCGTAAGTATAGCGGTGGTTAAGGCAGGGTTAAGCCAAAAATCGAACGAAAGATACGTAATATTTTGCCGTTCTACAAGATAGCTATGTTACCGACACTGAGACCTGATTGGGACGATAATGGTGCATGCGAACATCGTCGGCAATCGGCCCGGATCAGTTCCCCTCTTCCCTCTCTGACTTCGTCTCAATCCTTCTATGGCCAACCTCCTCACTGTTCCACTCAAGAAAACCTATGTTGTCGACGTGAAAGAGCCAACGAGAAACTACCTCGAGGCCCACACAGATGCTCATCCCGAGGCTTTCAAAGCGGATCTCAACCAGTGGCAACAGCTCCGAAAGGATAGTGTAGACGTGTCCGTGCATGTAAACGCAGTCGAGAAACTCATAAAGTGCGCTCAAACTTACTGTTGAATACACACGGACGTCTGATGATGCGACAGATATCATGCTCAACTGTTATCCATCCTCACCAAGTTGCCAGCAGACGTATGTTCCCCCTGGGCGCCATTCCACTTACAGATTCACAAATGTTCCTTAGATAGGACTTGAGATCTCCTACGCATATGTATTCCCTCCGAACAATCTCCCCGTAACTCTTCGAAACCTGGGGTTCGAGCGCGCATCGGTTCTCTTCAATCTAGCTGCGTTGTACTCTCAAGTAGCCGCGAAGGAGGATCGAATGGACTTGGAAGGTATCAAACGGGCCATTAGCTACTATCAGGTACGGAGCAGCTGCCTTGTTTACCGTGGCCTCAAGATTTACAGTAGAACGCTGTATGAACCCTGGCGTATCTAAGGAACTTCGCGCTTCCCAAACTCGTGTTCTCTCCTCAAGATGAAGAGATTTCTTTGGATCTCTCAACAGATTTTGTTCATAGTATAGAATGGTTGATGTTAGCTCAGGCGCAGTAATGTATCTGGCAGAAAGCTAAAATAGGTGTGACTTGCTCGCGTATTTTTGGCGTTCTTCGGTTGATCACGACTAGACCAGTTCAAAAGCGGACTAATTGCAAGACTGGCTGCCAATGTAGGTCTTACATCCATTACCTACAGTCTTCCACTGAGTTTGGATAGACTGCGGCGTACTACAAGTTATGGACGCGTAGCAGCGGCTGTCCAAGGTGACATACAGGTAGATCATCGTCATTTCTGCTCCGAATGTGCCTGAGCTCAATTGTCAGTCTCTCATGGTTGCTGTTGACACGAGTCTGAAGCGTGCTGAACGCGACAACGACCTCATCTACCACAAGGATGTCCTAGCCATCTCCACTCTCGCGCCTATTCCTCATGCTGCAATCGCTCAGCTCACAACGCCGGTTGGGCTATCCGATCCAAGAAGCCATCAGTGAGTTCATACTCTCAGTGCAAGTCCACCACTCAATTAGTACAGACATATATAACGACAGGAAAAAGAACCTGATGAAGGATCAGATCTCGGACAAGTCCAAAGAGCTTAGAGATACTGCTGATGCTGTGCTACGTGATCATAACCTGCCGGCGTCTCTGGAGGCACTCGAGCGACCAGCAGGTCTCCCTCCTAGTTTATTGAAGAAGGCGGAAGAAGTCCGCATGGAGAACGGGCCCACCAAGATTGACTCCTGGTTTGAGGACCTCCGGAAGCAAGCAAAACACGTTACGAATATCCTAGACGAGGTGAATTCTTTCTTTCCTTGTCGTTGCCAATGGCGTGACCGTACTGTAGGCCATCGATATCTTGGACAATGAGGCCACTGAGGACGAGATTGCTCGAGAATCAGGCGATTTGGCGAGGCCTCCTTCTTATAAAGCCAACCTGGATTTGATCCAGAAGGAACAACATTATCGCGCCATAAGTACTACAACAGGCTGCATTGAGCGACGAAACTGTCAAACAAAAGTGGGAAGAATGGGAAGAAAACATCATGGATTTGATCATCAGCGAGGTGGGTTCGTTTTTTGTCCGTCGCTGTTTGAGACTGAAAACAGCGCATATAGGCGGACCTAGAAGCACTCGTGCCTTCCTCGACTTCGTCTAAGCGTAGAACGCCGGAGGCAGCAGTCACCCAGCGCTATGCCCGAAATCTCCGAGTGTTGTTGGAGTCCCTCGACACCGTTCATGCTGACCGCGCTCAGATAGTCCGACGTGCAGAATCATTAGCCGAAGCTGATGACATCCGTCCTCGCATCCTCAAAGCAGCCACCAAGTTGGAAAGCTTGGAGGAAATGCAGCCAGCAATGTTCGAGAACGTATTGGACGAGGAACTCGCCAAGTATGACAAATACTGCCAGTTATTGGCGGACAATACACAGGAGCAGGAGGACATCTTGTCTTCGATTGAGGTGGGTACCCTGCGCCCCTCGACATCGATATGCTCGTCCGCCTCTATTAACCGCCCGCATCAGGACTTGTTACCGGCTGCGATTCGCTCTGGCCATATCGGTGAGCTCGCTATGTTCGTCGCCGTCGAACAAGCCGTCTGCCATTGGTCTTGACCATGCCAAGGCATCGGACTACCAAGGTGTTAACGTTATGATGAAGATTTGTGTTCCCAAGGTGTGTTGCATCCCGCCGACTGACATGTTGATTGACCATGTTGTACTTGTAGCTCTCGATCTCCACAGCACAAGTGTTCCAAATCCGGTAAGAGCGGTTGTCGTCGTGCTTGAGGGCGCGGGTTCAACGCATGACTAGTACCCCTTCGGCCTGGACCTCGATACATACGCGGTGACTACGACGGTGTAGTATCGCTTTCATGGATCTTCACTCATGAGGCGCTAGTCGAGGGTGAATGCTCTGGCTCTTTGCGTTTGTGCGTCTCTTTTCTGTTGATCCTTTCTTTTAAATGTCTAACCTTCTCTTGGCCCAGGCTTACCTTGCGCGCTTACAGGGAGTAGCCACAGCACTCGCTTCTCCGGTGGTGTAAGTCTTGCCCGTTTTCTTGCTAATGCTAGTCCTTACCTCGTTATCAGTCTGTATTCGATTTGATTGAACATACACTTGGCTACGCGCCGGTGGATAGCGGTTTGGCTTCGTGCCGACTGCAACTTTTGTTTATGCGACACCGCAGGGATGCTGACGTCGCGTTTCCGGGGCTATCTGTCTTCGTGTTAGGGATAACTGGCGACATGTATATATGGGCCATGAGTGGAAATGGTGTACATTTACCATCCGCGCAACTGTTCTTACTCTTGTTAAATAGGAGGGGTTTGAGGTAGACGTGTAGCTTATGGCGAGCTTGTTTCCCCCGCGACAGTCGAGTATTTGCTGACCGCGCCAATCTAGTTCCTAGATGACATGTGTTTAAATGAGGGGTGAGCTACACCTCTTTCAAAGTTTCATCGAGCTAATGTTTATCTTTACAGATCAAATGATAATATTGTTCTAGGAAAAACACGAGTGAAGGAACGCGAGGGACCTCCGCCGCACACAACCTCGGCCTCGCCTCTCACCAACCTTGTCCCTCCTCGCGCTACCTATAAATCAACCTTCAGCGGCTTCCCTTAGGGTACTCCGTCCCGTCAACGGTGGAAAACTGACTAGATATCCGCGAAGGAACCACCTCAGCAGGCGAATGTCGTATAGCGTCGATACTGTGTACAGACGGGCGACGTCGATAAATTGTGGAATCCGGGTCTGGGATAGACGACGAGATGACCGGCAGAGGTATCCAGGGTTCGGGCGAAGGCGTAACCCGCATCAGCGAATCCACTGGAGGGGGGCACGGGGAATGTCGCAATTGGGGAGGGCGACCAAGCTTCTTGCCAAGGGTGACTGCAGATATCTGCATATCCGGGATATGCGGATTTCGCTCTGGAAATGGCTCAGCTCATTCAAGGTACTATCTAGCAACTTTCTCTTCTACTTGCTCGAAACTGACGTCTGCTAGGCCTTCATTATATGCGCCTGGCGGGATTTACCTATCATGATACGAGTTCCGGGAATTGTTTGATGCATCCATTGGCCGACGGGTGGCAACTGAAGATCTCCGATCTTGAATATGCCCGACCCTACGATGCTCTCTTCACCGAGGAATTCATAACTGTAAGTCTTTCTAAACATATACTTATACCTTGTACTAGACAACTTTCAGGGTACTCCAGGCTACATGGCTGTTGAATACAAAAGCCAATCTCATTTTTTCATTCCGCCCCAGCTGAACGAAAAAGCCGTTACGAAGCCATTCTTCCGGCACAATTTCGCCCACGACCTCGAAGGCGCGCTATGGATATACGTCCGGTTCTTATTCGAGAAAATCCCGGATTGCGTCAACGCCACTGAGACGGCCCAAATCCGACGCGATATTCGGTATTATCGTGACCAGCTCAAGCAGGAGGGCTCACCTGAGCGCCGCGGCTTTGTGCTTGACAATGTCAATGCTAGGTCCGCTGTCGATGCTCTCGCTGCGCTGTATGAGCGAGTTCCGGAGGGATTGGTTCTTATGGGAGGGTTGGGATGTTTCGACGTTCTCGTTAGACTCTACCGGGACGTTGAGGCTACGGAACCGCTCGACCCCGATGCTGGGACTTGACGCGCTGGGATTCAAATTTCTTCCAACGAGGATACTATAAGTGCCTACAGGATGGCTTCCTGGCTATCCATCGACGGTTGTCTGGGGCTGGGCGCATCAGCGTACTCCGGATCCTCGACAGCTATCCCGGCCATGATCTTCGCCAAATCTGGATGTTGCTGAGCAGCGGAGGCAAGCGTCTCAGAGGCGCTGAATGCGGGTCAGGTAACCCGGATTGAGTCCAAGGAGTGAGTACCTACCAATACCTCTTTGGCATCATAAGCCTGCTTAGCTCAATTGGTAGAGCGCACAGTAACATTCCTCAAATCCTCATATGTGACCTGTGAGGCTGCGGGTTCGAATCCCGCAGTGGGCCTGCATGCAGTTTTCCCTTACCTTTTTTTTTTCTCCAGACAGATTTTGAAACTTCGTGAGGCTAATTCTGCCACCACTCTTGGCCGGCGCTCACCCTTTCTCGCTGATGGCAGCTGGCTCCCACACTCGCGTCTTCTCTGCTCACGTCCTTCCACTCGCGACAATACCTTTCGGCTGGTCTTCGGACAACCGTGATTCGGACAACGCTGTTCTACGCTGGCTACGCAATTCTGCTGGCACGGTGACGACTTGTCTTCCTTGAGTGTTCCACGATTACACGCCGCCTGTCGCGGTCACGGTGGTCGATGACCAGCCTCCGAAGAATTATTTCGTGCGTGGTTTTGCTTTGTACCCTGTTTGAGGTCATCCCTATCAGCATTCACACAAGCAGTTACGCCGAGCCTGCTGGTTGAAAAGGTATCCTGATGCACTCCACCTCCTCCATTCAGTCGTATGGGCTTATTCTCGTCTCTTCCATGCGGGCGTGCCGACTTAAGGCGTCAAATTTGGTGTCATTGGGAAACAGTAAAGAGGGCAACATGTTGATATAAAAGGACTACAAGAGACTACAAGACAAAATCAAAGATAACTAAAACACTGTACAAAGCTCAATATGAGATAATGACACCGTGTCTGTTGAAAAGCAAGAATGCGGAAAACATAATACATTACACTTGGCCAGATGCAGCTATATCACATATGGCGGGGCCATAAGAGAAATAGTCCTCGATACAGGGGTCAAGTAACGGAATGGGCACCAATATGATTTGTGGATGTATTTGTCTGTTTGGATGCCGACGCAGCATGACGAATACCCAACAATCCGCCAGACTAGAGCCCGTGAAATGCAACTGGAAGGTCCCTACACGGTCGCGGCAGCGCGCGCAGACAGCAGAGATGGGATGGGAGGTGCGGACAACTATTGGGAAGTATGTTCTCGTGGGGAAGTGTGCGAACAGGGCAACATCAACGCGGATAGTTGGACGAAAGAATTCCTGAAGAGCTGTTGCTAAGTGGTATCCGGTGAACAGTCGCTTAATGAAGCGAATGTGTGTATTTGTGCGAGATGAATCATCGATACACTACGACACGTCGTCAAAAAGGTAAAGTAGCATCGTATGGAACGTGGGCTTACAAAAACAACACCATCGGGGGAGAGCATCGAATGTGAAGCGCCCACTTGCAGGGTTGGACGCAGAGAGTTCCTTTCGCCAATGGAAACCGTACCGTTCTTATCGTGAACGAGGCTTGACGTATACGGTCCAATATGCAGGGCAGTAGGTGCTTTCTGGTACGCCTGTTGTTCTCTGATAGGGCTTGTCTGAGAAGGAGTGAGTATGATAAGCCGTTATGCACAATGAGAGCAAGCGAACTTTTAAAACCGTGCATTGGTCACAATCGTCTGCGAAAGTGCTATAACAGCAAATGTTTGACACTACGGACAGGGCACGATGCCAGAACGATGGCATTGTAAGAAGAGACGTTCAACGTGGGTGATGGCAATGAGGAGCAGGGTTAGATATACGGAGTTTCGGCATCCCACGCCAGCTCGGCAGCATCATCACGACCTTAATTGTGATAGAAGAAAACATCGAGCGGTTGACGTTGAGGCCTTGAGGCATTGCGCTCGTAGCGGAATTACGTACAGTAGGTGCGAAGAAGTAACTGGATGGGGATCGGCTTGGATAAGGGATGCCGAATATGCGTCTGGAACTAATATCGGCTGATGCCGCATGCGAGACTTGCAGGCGGTGATCCTTGCGCCACCTCAAAAATTCCCTTTTTGAAATTGAAAAAGATTGAAATCTGGTGAGTGGGGGTGGGGCGTCGCTGCAAAAAAATGCAAGACCATTTTATTTCTTTGGAGATGTCGTAACAGAAATGTATTGGATGAGCGGCCAACTCATATGTACATTTGCTGCCGACTACAGTACTCCATCAACTTTGTTCACCACCTAAATTCCAATGAGTGGTATTAATACTGATTACTTATTCACTGCTTGTGCTTGAGCGACTCATAAACAAGCACAGTCATACATTCCACATTCCACGTTCATTTCGCAGTCGCACAACGGCCACTCCAGAGTCCATACAATGCACGGCATACTGCCTGTTGGCCAACTTTATGGGAGTGCTATACTTGACACAGGGCTCGCTGGGAGATATGGGCGCAGGTGAAGAAAGGGTCAGAATTTATAACGCCGGAAAGAGGTCGGCGTGCATGCGCATGTCCGAGTGGGCAGCATGGAAAAAGAAGTAATGCGCTAGTAAAGTCCGTACCCGAGCTCCAACGCAGCATCTAAGCGTGCGGTATACCGTCCCTCGGGAAACATTATCCACTCCTCCCTGATAATGCGAGCCTCCTCCTCGGCAAACTCGGTAATGTTATGTTCGCGCTGGACCAATGCACGGGGAACAAGAAGAATCCTAGGGTCATAGAAAGCAGTCGAAACACCATGGGGGTCACGACGCTCTATAGAGTAGGCGAAGAACCCCCTGTAGCCGCGCTCGAAAGATTTGATGACGAAGTCGCCGATTCGGTCTCCGCAATGGGCGTAAAAAGGCGTGGAGACTCGGTAATGGGTATTAACGAGTACAAGGTAGGTGGACTTGGTAGGGGGGTGCGCAATATATGCGAGCTCAACGCGCGTGCTGGACTGGTACAGCCGGGGGTAGGGCGAGACGAAGGAATATCCGGAGATCAAGCCCTCAGAACTATCACTCGGCTGAGGGCTAGGTCTAGAGCTGGGGTTACCATTGCGGGTGGAAACAGCCGGCCTTTTAGAGGAGATACAACCTTGAGATCCACTACGACTGATCGAGAAAGCAAGGCGGTGGAGCGGAGAATGACGGAGAGGGGGCGGAACGTTCACGTGATCGGGAAATGGATGCTTGCGCAAAGCCCGCACAGGGATAAAAGTATCTCGACGACCAGAGGTGGGTAGGTCGTGTGTCAGGCGATCCGCCCAAGCCTCCGTCATAATAGGAGGGAGATGCACTAAAGCATATTCGTCAACGATAGATCGAGGGACATGCTCGTTGTCGGGGACGAGAGTTGGCATGGTCCAACCGCGGAACCCCGCCTCCAATAATTCAGCCTCATCTATGGGCTGAATGAGGGTGTACTCCTAGGGAAATAAGGTGAAACCCAATAGCGACAGAAGGAAAACCCACAAGCTCGATGCTGGCATCCACAGCAAAAGGGGGTGCAACATACGATGGCGACGGACTGACTGATCCACCACACTGCCCGAGACCGGAAGCGACTGAATACATCGAAGAGGCGGTACCCGAAATAGTCGAATGCTGAGCGGAGATATCAGGACAACCGCGATCGACGGAAACAGTAGTCTATGCGCCATCGAGGTCAGCGCCACACATCGGACAGAAACCAAAACCTGAACGAACGGATACGATTACCTCAGACATAGGGGGCTGTGGAAGATGAGCGATACAGTTGAGTGCCCTCCTTCTGTGGAAAGGAGAGTAATGAGCGAGGCTGGGTAGAGCCCAAGGCATTATAAGGGCGCAAACCACACGGAAATGAAACCTTAAGGTGGCGGCATGCGCAATGTCTTTTATTAGCTGTGTACCCCAGAACGAAGATGCAGGATAGTGTATGCGAGAGAAAGTCAAAGAGGTGCCGCAACACTAGATCATCTGGTCAGAAGCAACTAATATAAAGGCTTCTGTTGGGAAAGAACATACCTAAGGTGAAAAATTTATCCCGAAACCTCATGTTGAGTGAATTGAAAGGACATCACATTTAACAAATAGATCATTGAACTAAAGTCTAAATGCCCTCAAAATGCCGCGGAAAGAGGTCTAATTCAAGGACAGCAGGACAGAAAAGCAGACAGCAAGCAAGTGCCAAGACCTTAGAACAGTCTTCTAATTGAAATTAGGATAAACGGCAGCACAAAAAAGGAAGTGCCGATCTGTGGAGGTCCTTAAGAACCTCAAACGTCAGAAAACGTAATCCATTCCCCACCTCATGTCACCTCTATCAATGCCGTAAAAAATGTATTGGATGAGCAGCCAACTCCGGAATACAATCATAAACGGCACTACCACCGCAGTTCAGGTGCACAAATGCGTAATCTATGATGTGGTGAGGAGACTGCACCCTGTTGCTGAATGAGCCATGAACGTTTAAAGTCATGCAGGGACGTACAAACACCACGATGCTTGCTCTGATTATGCATCGAGCCATGAACAAAGCCCCGACAGCCACAAACGGAAATCCTGCCATAGGTAAAAAAAAATGAATATATTATCCCTAGGAGTCCTCACCAAATATCCCTCGTTAGTTGCCGAAGTGCCTGCTCCAGCCTTCATGCCGGTGTCCATGGACACATTGCCCGAACCACATAATGCAGTTGTGCACGCAGGTGGGGCAGAGAGTGGTGGTGAGAGAGACGAAAGGGAGGGTGTCAAAGCAGACATACCCGCCCTGCCAGTGGGCCTTCAAATATATGGCCTCCCGCCGGCCCCTCACAATTATGCCACAGGAGATCCGGAGAGATTTGGTATTTCCGAAACTCCTCAGTGCGACACCATCCGCATATGAGATCATTCTAGCTGCGCATGCACAAGGTTTGCCCCCTCATCTCATACATACCGAGTTCCTGCTATGCCGCACACCTTCGTCTGCCGGGAACCCATTAAGAAGCGTGAGGAGAGCGAGCCGCTGTCGACTCTCGATTACGCTCGATGCTCCCAACCCCTCGGAGGAAAGGGGGATGGAAGGAGAGTCACCTTTGATGAAGGGGACGGCCCGGTCGCGGTAAACAGCCCGGAGATCGACGACTCGGTCCGCCTGCCGCTTTACTGTCTATGTTGCCTTCGGAGAAAGTGTGGTCTTGGCACCGTCCGTCCCAGGCGGCAGTACTAGTCATCACGGCCTGCCAGTCGTTCACCTCAGCTCGAACATATACTAGAAACCGAGATGGTTCTGTGTCCACAGATGCCTGCTATTCCGCAACAAGTCGGTTGATCCGG